ATATTATATTATATCATATTATACTTGCTGGGCCCCCTTTCATCGAAAGAAATGATCCAGGGGCGGCTCGTGGGGCTAAAAAGTGGGCGTGCACAATTAAACAACAGCAGGTTGAAGATAGTCAAGGGCATAGTAAATGGGGTGGTAAGATCTGTGGGTTGGTGAAGGAGGACCGTATGCTTTTATTTTCCTTCTTTTTACTGGTCGCTTTGATTTCTAGAACTAAATCTGTTTGTTAGCTTAACATCAATTTCTTTATCCTGCATTGGAACTGAACACTCGAGTAATAACTTTCACCACTCCACAACAAAGCCATTCAAAGGCACAACCGGCAATTCATAGAGTGGGGACTTAAGTATGTCACGTTCACCTCCCTCAGGTTCACGGTCTCAGAGTCGCTTAAAATAGCGGCAAGACAATGAACCAATCACAATTCACTTGAGCACTCCGCTGGATTGCTCTGGGGATCACATAATTTTGGCATTGAATAGTGTGCAGGCTATCGCGTTATTTTTTGACTGCCTACTGTGGGCTATGTTTCGTGGGTGCACATTTGAGATATGCCGTCTTGTTAATATTAATGTACGGTACCGCCAAACTCGCTACGAGTGTTGTCATCGCTTTGGTTATCCCAAAGAGCGATTTATAGGTCAGATAGCCACTGTTGAATATTCTATTACGTTTTGTTAAAGCGCGTGGATTTTGGCATGGCATAGTAGATGTTTTACGGCGCTTTTGACACAGAAATGACAGTTACAGCGCCAGCGAGGACCTTGTTTTGATATTACATTTTGCTGTTGTTTGTTTCTGACTTCTTTTATTTCATGTTTGTGGGTGCTTTTCGTGATAGAACAGTAAACAATTTTGGGCGGCACTGCACGACCGTGCTCTATGGAAGAACCACGCCTGAAATGATCGGCGCATTAACATCAACTGAGAGTCAGGGGCCTACAATTTACTCTCTACTTGAATGGAGCAATTATTCTTGAGAGATGCAAACAATTAGAAGGTCTAGATCTAGATTTATACTCTCAAAACAAAATGCGCCTTGCGAAATATCACTTCCGGTACTTCCCTTCTGATGGACAGCTACGCAGAAGATTTGTTTTGTTTCTCAGTGGAATAATCACAAAGGCCAAAGAAACACGGGAACTTTTTGTCAGATATACTTTTTCTAAATTCAGGAAATGAATATATCAGAAATCGGGCTCTGTCATGTCATGGGGACCTATCTTTTTGCAGGTACTTACCAACTTTCAACTCTGTAGCTGTCGTAGTTTTATGGGAAAAGTGTCACATGTGTTTCCAAGTTGCCAAATATAGATCTATATTATATTATATTATATTATATTAT